ATTGAATATCTGAAGGCAATGAAAAAGTAAATATAAATAAAAACAGTTGTATATTTTGACAATGATTCACTACAGTTAGAACAATTGGTATTACATATATTATAATAGTCATTGTTTTGCTTTGAATGACTTAAAAGTATATTAGCCATATAAATTGAAATCATTTTGCAATAGCAGAGTAATGTCATACAAGGAAACCATCAACTAGTATAAAGGAGAGTTTAAAAAGAAACTTTATAGAATTGTTATTCGTATCAATACAAAAATATACTCGATTGTAAAATAAAAATTCGAAGATTACTTACAAAAAATAATAACTCTAAGATGGGAATGAATAATGTCAAACAATTGCTATAATGGTACATTTGCTCTTAAGAGAAACGGATTATTTTCGACCTAGGTCGTACAGAACGGTCCGTATACAGCATCTTTACGGCAATCTGTAGAATTTCGTTTATGAAGGCCTGTTTACGACACGTAAATGAGGCCGTATATGCTTTCACATTGATTAATAGAGAATGCAAGCCATTGTAGACAGCGTAGCATCTAAGAGCTCATTACGGTGTTTTTTCAGACGATTATGTAAGTGTCACGTATTCGTCCCGTATTCCCTCCATAATCATCTAGATTTATAAAAGCGACTGAAATCTATGGCTAGGTACCAGATAATGATATACAATCAATAGCTCTGATGAATTTCATTTAATACCATCAAGTAATTGATGGTACAACAATTCTATAAATTTTTTTATCGAAAAAATATTTTCTTTAGTTTGCATCTTACTTAAAATTCTTTTATTTTTCGATTAATGTCAAGTTCCTAGCAACATTTTTGAGCTGTTTTTATATATCAATCAATAGCTTTTGTTGAGCTCTATAGTTTTTTTATTATTTTCGAAACAGAAAGTTACATTACTTGATCATTGAAAAAGTTTAAATAGCGAATATTCAATGTTATGTTCTAGTGAGAATAATATCCAGATGAATATTACTATGTTTTCTACTAAAACACATTTCAAAGTTTATTTTGAAGTAAGCTAAATATTCTTAGAAAGATTTTCAAGCTTATTTATTTTCAGTCTCTTGCTGGCTCATCTCAATCACGTAAACTTGAACTATTTCTCAAGACACACATTGATGATAGATAGTATGGAATTTTTTTCTATTTTATACTTTTTTAATTATTTTATTTTTTTCTTTCATGTGATGATGATATCAAAGGGAAAATCGAAATCATTAAGAAGTATGACGCTACTCTTGGTATCTTCATTAAAGAAGAATAAAAGACAAGTCAGAATTTGTATTATCATACTTTTATATTTCTATTATTCCAGGTTGTTGTTTTCTTAATGATGATGAACATATATGAAGAACAGTCTGAAGAACTTTTTTCATAACAAGAAATTCAATTAAAGCTTATTTCAGATGTTTTTTCATTTTGTTGTGTTTAATCTATGATTTATTCTTTAAAAAAATAAATCATAGTTCAACAAAACAAAATAATAAAAGGTTTTTTTTTATTGATCATTCGTTTTCTTCTGAAAAAAGAAGAAAATAACTAATGGATATGTTGGATAATTTACTACAAGTAGATCAATATTCATAATCAGCCTTTGTTTTCATATAGTAGAATAAATAGAAAAGAAAAAATATCTGAAAATCTTGCTTCAATCACAGGCAAGTTGTCTTTTTGATAGAATGAACAAGTATTTTACACATAAGTATTCATAGAAAGATTGAATCTGTATTTTTCAATTATTGAAATGAATGACCGTTAGTTAGATTGATTACTTTAAGAGCTATGTATTTTCTATGGAGTATGAAATTATGTAAACATGTACCGAATATATGAAAACTAGATTTCTAACTACTTGTTCATCATATTTGTTTTTTTCTTCTATAATAATTTTTTTATACTTTTATTATGTATTGGTTTTCTTCAACATGGCAAATCATCTTGAAGTAAATAGATTGTTTACTTTTAAAACTCCATGAATTCTTTTGCTCCTTTTAATGCTATTTTGTCAACTATAACAACGTATATTAAAAACCGTGAATCTTCTTATAATTATTAATTTTATTGAATTATATAAAAAATAACGATAACGATTTGACATGAGGGAAGTAAATATGAAAATGCTTTGGTAGTTCCAATCGATGATCAATATAAAAATTTTTGACTTTGGTACAACTGACTCGTGTTGCATCTCTTGTAAAATAATGAGTGACTCTCTGCACCTGGTAATAATCGATTATTAAGCGAACAATATTTGATAAACACGCTTTGGTATTAAGTAAAAACTGATCAGCATAGTCATTGTGAATATTGATAAGACGTAATACAGTAAGATGAGAATATTCGATAATTGAAAAATGTCGACCATCGTCGTTTAGCTTTTGATGTTGTGGCTCCTAGTTATTTACCATAAACTCTTTGAGAAACGGAAATCTTGAACAATTCGAATAAACACTATATGAACAAAAGAACGTCCATCAAATAATATTACAAATTGAACACATTTAAATAATCTACCTAGAAAATTATTGGTAATATTGTGATAATGTTTCAATTAGTGGCGTCCCAGAAATTTAAGCATTGAGGGGCTCAGTAGAGCTCATCGGGTCCGGGTCTGAAAATTTTTATTCATCGAGTCTGAATCAAAAAAAAAATTTAATGAATATAATGATATTTTACGAATTTCTTTAAATTTTTGATCGTTTTATTCAAAAAACCTTAATTTATTTATAAAAAAATATGAGATTTGTTTGGCTTATAGAATGTAATTGACATATCATAATATTTTATTAAATGGATAAATTCCCTCTTCTTTAGAAAAAATTCATCGTATATTATTTTTTCATGTACATAATTCAGTACAAAGCAAAGAATTATTGATAATGGAATAGTTATTGAATAGAAGAAATAATATACAGCCTTTGTAATGTATACATTCATTCTTCTATAAGGAATTATTGACAGGAGTAAGAACTAATTGTAACTTAGTTATTATGGGATCTCTATCGAATCGTTTAAAGAATATGTAAAGTATGATGAGGAGTATCATTTTCCTGTCAATTAAGAATAAATATAAATTATCGGTAATTTATATTTAAAAATAAATATATTAATGATTATTTATATATAAAATAAATATCATGTATGATCATTTTGTTTAGGTTTAAATATAAACTATCAAAAAAAATTATTTATACTTATCAATAAATATAAATTATGAAAACAACATATTTGTATTTCCTTTAAATATAAATTACCAATAACTTAATTTACGCATGAATTGAGTTGAAAGTAAATATGAACTGAGTCCCCTACGTATACTAGTCATGTAATAGAAAAAAAAATGAAAAATATATCGCATCTTCAGAACAACAATCAAAGTCAGATAAGAAAATTTTATTAAGAGGAGTGAGAGTACAGTTCAAGTGGACCCATCAATAGTTAATCAATCAAGTCCGGGTTTGAAAATCTTGATCGAACAAGTCCGGGTTTGAAAATCTTGATCGAACAAGTCCGGGTCTCGAGTCCAGAAAAATTAAATTGAGCGGATCCGGATCGAAAAATTTTTCGATCCGATGGGCTCTAGGGCTCAGTCTCCTTCCTTCCAACCTATTTTTGGCCTTTTTCAGACAGTAACTATTTTTATATAGGTCGAATTGACATTGCTAAATTGTAAAGTTGACATCTCATCGAAGCTCAAAGGTTATGTGTGCGCACTAGCTATCCTAGATGCCAGCATGGATGTGAATGATAATGTTGATATTGACGGCATTGATGATAATAATGATATATTCGATGTTAATAATGTTGATACAGATTGATCGTGTATGTCAGTTGTATCAGTATGTAAATTACTCTTTGAATCAACTGTAGATAACAGATTTGACGTTTCAGATAAAACAAATCCTGTTGATGTTTCTATGAATGGATGTAGATGAGTGGTGCACTTCTTGATCATTTCAACCTTTGTTTCCTTCGATGAGGATGGTGGAAAGAAAGATGCAATAGTCCTTGGTTTTTTGAAGTAGAAGGTTTCATAAATTTTATTTATATGTTAATAAAATATTTCAATTTATCCTTAGTTTTTCCTTAGTAGATATGAATCGTAACGGACAACATAAAAGACTGAATGGCGCTTTCAATATCTAACGATTTCAGCGGTAAAAGATGGCTCTCTAGTGAGGGTGTGGGTAGATTTGAATAAGTGTGGATGGGTGTGGGTAGATTTGAATAAGTGTGGATGGGTGTGGGTATCCACTTCAACTACATTAATATTCACACTCACATCTACATCCAAAAAACATTTCATTACTCTATTTCAAGATTTGCGGTTGGATATTTGTACTGTCAACAGTGTTTTGACCCTTCACTACCAAAAAACTTTTCATAGGATTTTCCTCAAACTACAAAAAACTGTGCAGCTACCTGATCAGTATCCATGTGCTGTTAATCCATCGATGCGAATTATTCTACTTATACTGTCATATACAATTTGCTTTCCAGTATTCAATTTTAGTATTAAACATATGCTTTTATTTGTATGGTTCACTTATTGAAATATTTGTTTAACAATATTGGTTCTTACCCAATGTATCGATCAGTAATTAGTAAGAACAATTTTCACTGAAGCGTTACTTATTGTTATTAGTGGCTGTCTGACTATATGAAATCTGATAAGATCCAGAATGACGAAAGAGATTTATCGAATACAAAAACAATTTTTCTTTTGAATAAACTGTCTTCATTATCTATCTTATTTTTATAGAAAAATCTATAGAATTTCATTTCTAGAAATCGTTTATTTAATTTGATTTAATCCTTAATATAATCAATAATATTAATCATACTATCTAGAATTATCACATCTATTGCGATGTTTATGTCTTTCTATGTTTTATTAGTACTTGAACGAGTATGTCAACTTAAATAAATTTATTTCAAAGAAACGAAAAATTTTTGATGAAACAGGGTAGAAAATCGAGTTTTATCCGCCTAAATAAACAGTAAATGCTTTAATAATAGGTGTATCAATTGATTTTGTTATATTTAACCTAACAACATTGACTAAAATTGGTCCTGCCTGCCATATATCAATTTTCTTATTTCCAAAACTTGTACCTCGTGCAACTGTCATCCATTGATTAGAATCTGTTGCATTAGCTAAATATACATCAATGGTATATGCACGAATAACTTGACCTTGAGTTTGATCTTCATAAACAACTGAACAATCAACAGTAACTGGTGATAAATCAAATACTAGAATATGTATATTTGAATCATCTAATGCAAGATATTTAGTGGGCAAAACAGAAGTCCCATAACATGAACGAATAAAATCACCTAATTCTTTATAATGAATAGCATGCTTCGATAGTATAGATCTAGTTTAAATGTTAATTTATTTAAAAAAAAAACTTAGTTTTTTTATGTTTTTCTTTTTCTTATATTATTTAAATGTTCTTTTTCTGAATCATTTGGGGGTAAAATGTTGCCAAGACTGCCCACATTAAAGCTAAGATTGCTATAATTATCGCCACAGGATTGATTTTGTCGGATCTGCTCCACGAGTTCTCTTCTGTTCGATCTATCTAGGAGTAATAGGAAAAAGCTTATATATACAATTCCTTTAAGAGTATCACAAAACTTACCATTTGAAATGTTTAAGACATAAACTGCCTCTTCAATTGGAACATTATCTACTACACGTAGATAAATTCGATCAGGATATTTTGACAATCTAGATCACACATAAACAAGTAAGTTTATGGAGGTTAAAAAATCAATATAAAATCCTTACGAATAGTTTTCATGTCTTTTGTTCAACACAAATAATCCTACAGCACGTGAATCAATATTTTTTAGATCAGATAACAGAACATAAGGTAGAAAACAATAAAAGTAAAACTGATGATGTACTTCAACTCGTACATAACTTTTACTGAAATCGTTCGTATAAACTTTAATATCTGACATGTTTGTTGAAGATAAAAGAAAATGATAATGTATAAATAAAAATGTTTATCTAAGATGAATAATTGATTACAATCGAACTATTTATCATATTTATACCAATTTAAAAAGATAATAAAGAAAGGATTTTTCACTGCAAATTTTTGATCTAACTTGAACCATCATCATGTAGTTTATCCATCTTAAGATTAAAAAAAAACAAATACTACGGACCCACACGGCAGCAAAGAACATAGTGAAATAAGAGAAATAAAAGCGAGTCCAACATGATTGATGTTTTCTGATTTGAGAAGGGCCAAATATCACTTAGGTATCAGTAGATAGAGAAAATTTTTCTCTATAATATGGTAATTTTGGTTTTCTATAAAAAAAGAGGCATTCAAAAGTTCCGCTAGGTGCCGTTAGTAATTTTTTTAACATGATTGGCTGAAAGCATCTTCACGTTACTCATTCTCATCATTGTTTGACTCTGACTGTAAGTTCCATGAGTAGTTAGCGACCAATCAGTGATGATCTCTTAAACCGGACTAGGGCACGAAAAACTATTATTACCAAAATTATTAAATCACATGATGAGTTCAAAATGTAGTATGAAAAGTTCTTGAAAAAGTGGCAAGATATGTGACGCCCTCTCTTAGTGCATTTTTCGATATGGTTTAATAGTGAATGTTTGATGCTGTAAGCAGGGTTGCCAGATCTTCCGATATGGCAGGAAAAATTCCGATTTTTGAAACTTTTTCTGACGACTTTCCGACGTTCCGATTTTTTCCGATTTTAGCATAGTATTCCGATCCCCTTCCGATTTCCTAATTTTTCTCCGGTTTTTGGAGTCTTTTTTGTAAATTCAAGTTCTTAGACTATTCCAGAATAATTTAACGATACCTCGTTACTGTATATATTTTGCGATCTATTTCACTATAATTATTCATGAACTCAACAAAACACACTTTAGTGCTCTGAAATCTCATCCTTCAATAAAATTAGAATGTTTTACAGACAACAAAGATCCAGTTTTCTATCGTGATGAACTAATTTTCTCTGTTCGTTTCCTATACTGATAATTAAGAATATTTTCCTTTTTGAGTTTTTTTGTTTCATTGTAGATATAATAAAACTAATCATAATCGTGTGGGTACTAAATTAGCTGTTGCAGAATTGAAAATTAGAATGAGTTCTGTTTACCCTCGTGGACATTTTTATAAATATCTGTTACGCCAACCTGATGTTTTGAAGAATATTCGAGCTAATAAGGAAGTATGAACAAAAACGGACGCTATACAGAATAAGTCTTAGTTTCTATTTCACAAGTTTTGTGAAATGCATGTGCGTGTACGAACTGACAATGTTGATTCTATTCTTTCGTCAAGTTGGTTAAAAGATTTTTGAAAAAAACAATGTGATCCTGTTTAAATGACTTATGTGGATTTCTTTAATAATGAGTAAATTGTGTATGTAAATTGATATTTCCTTTAAGTGTTTATGAAATATCTCTTCAGATATTGTTTCGAAAAAATTAACAGAAGCAAGATAAAGGATATTCAGGGGCCGCGCGAAGAGTCTAAGATTGGGAGGGGGGGCGTAGGTGGGGGGTAACGGGTTTTGAAAAGATGTAAAAATTTTGGGGGGAGGGGGGGGTGGTGTAAAAGGGTATTTGGAGCAAAGTTTCTTAAAAAAAAGCACAAAATTTGTTCCAAATCTGCTCCGGTCGCTGAAAAACAAACAAAAATTTCTAATTATTGGGAAGGTGTACATCCCTCATACCCTCCGCTCGCGCGGCTCCTGAGGATATTGTCCTATTGGAAAAAACAGACTAGCTATTTAAGCATTAAAAAATGCTTTCCGATTTTTTTCCGATTTTGAGAAAAATTTTTCCGATTTTTTAATTTTCAATCTGGCAACCCTGGCTGTAAGGCCAGATCAGAATTGTTCATATCAATAAAATCTACACAATGTACGTAGACATTGTGTTAATTAATATTAAGTTGAAATAATAACTTCCTAGATCGAAGCAAGTTCAATGCATTGGTCATATTTTTTTGTCATATAATGATTTAGTGTTATCGTTCGACGAATAAAACTACCTTCAAAATAAATGGAGAATGTGACGTTATACCTGATCAAGCAAAGATGAAAATATATACATAATTATTTTTCTTTTGGTCAATAAATGAAACATATGTATGTCTACTATAACATATACCAACGAAAGTGAAGTAAATTACGAAGAAAATAGTAATTATAATAATTTATCATGTGTATCTTGCATTCATGACATGTTGTTAGATGTCACTTTATCTTTTTATTTCATGATCATGTCAATATTTCATTGTAACATAGAAAATTGAGTTTAGATTGAAAAAAATAAAAACCTGAATGGTACTTACTCCAATGAACACAGCATTCAACCTACAATGTTAATTGTTTATTACCATATTAATCTCTTTGTAGAAAATCAATCATATGTCACGTTCTGTTGGTGTAGCGGTTATCACATCTGCTTAACACGCAGAAGGT